TTTTGGTCTGGTTGAAATTCCAAAGGTGAAACTCACCCCATAGGCCCTACAAAGATGCAACAGGATGAGATGAGATGAAGTGATAGCATGTGAGAGCTGTGACTCTGATCTGAGCAGATCAAAAAGCAAGCTGTAGTACTGCCTCCCATCCTAGCCTGGGGGAGAGGGAGGGCTTCCAGCTCCCCCGACTGCCGGCAGGGACACATTGTCCCACCTAGTAGAGCGGGGCTGGTATTCCTCCTGCCACCCTGTGCTCTTGAGGCCATCATCCATGAGGGCTCCAGTGGATGTGGCTGACTGGCTGTCCTGCAGAGAAGACCCTCCTTCCAGGGCCCCCTGGGGGAAGCCTTGGTGTCATCTGTTTATAGGCTAAGGCCTGCAGGCTCTACCAATTTAGGTGACAATCTGGTGACCAAAGACAGTCTCATTACCAAGTGGCGTTTAGCTGGGGAGCCCAAGACCCTCCAAAGGGGATTCTCCCAGGACCCCTGCTAATACAAAGACATAGTAGCTGCTCTCATGTAATGTGCAGCCTACTTAAGACAGGAGTGTGCGCACGTGAAAGTCAAACCATGGTTAAGTCCACTTAAATGTTGTAGGTGCGGAGGAGCACTCGAGGGAAGCTTGAAGAAGGGAATGGGCATGAGGAGGGCACCGGAGAGGTCAGATTTGGAAACAGGGTAAACGGGGGCAGAGGGCATTCCCAGGGCAGAACAGAGTGGAGTCCCCAGAACAAGCGGGAGGAGCCGAGAGGAGTCCCGGAGGCAGGCGGTGGGAGGAGCCTGATGTGGGGCTGCTAGTTCTCACGCATGCGCACAGGGCCTGGCCAGAGGCTCCCCTCGGCGCGCTCTCCTGAGGAGGTGCGGTCCGCGTGGGAGCCGCGCTCTTCCCTGGGCCAACCAGGGTGTCCCCGCGAAGGCGGCTCGTGTTAGCCACTCTTGCCCTGTCGCGCCTACCCAGCAATTCCCGGGCTGTATGTGCAGATGGGCTGGGCCCTGGGCCAGCCTTGCCAGGTAGGCCCTTTTCCTCCCGTCAGACCGCTTTCCCCTCACGGGCCGACCCGGGAGGCCCCCAGTGGCCTGGAGGGCGCTTGAAAGTGGGACGCAGAGCTTGGCAGAAGGAGGTTGTGCAGTGGAGGCCAACAGCCGTATCCCCGTGTTGCCTGGGGCCACCTGGCAGATAGAAGCACCAAATCCCAGTCATCAGGAGCCTGCGGAGGGACGGGGCGGAGACCTGGCGCTGGCGTGGCTGGCTTCGCGGCCCGGCCGTGTGCGCCGGCGGGGTTCTCACACGCTCCCTGCCTCAGTTTCCTCGTCAGAAAAAACGGGGATATCATCCCGTCCCTCATGAAGTACCTGTGAGGACAAAGGGGGTGACACGTGGAGAACAGTTAGAAGAACCACTAGCAAAGGCTCGGTAGAGGTAAGTTAATATTAATTAATCCAATGAGTTCTCGCGTATTTAGTGGCAGAATCATATTGTCCAATTATATATATATAACATATATATTACATATAGAGAGGACAAATTTCGTAAGTAGAACTCTACTTTAGAAAACATATCAATGCCCCTCATTGGCACTTTCCTCCCCACACCCCCAAAGGTTCCCAAAGCACCTCCAAAGAGCACAGGTTGAAAACCATCCCCCCAAATCCACCCTTGTTCCAAGAGCGGAATCCCTTCTGCAGTGGCTCTGGCGGGGCTTCAAAGGGCCTGTGTCTAAACATTTTGCTCATGGGTCCCTGCAGTTCCCCAGGTGGCCCAGCAGAGACCTGGTCAGCCTGTCCCCAGGAGCCAGCCTGATGACGGTGGAGGCTGCTTGTGCGTGGCTTGATCAAGCTCCTCCCCGGAGCCACGGAGGATGAGGCTTCCCTCAACTCTTCCCCCACGAACACTTGGGCTTGATTTGAAATGATTACACATGTAGACGCCAAGTATAAAATAAACAATCTACCCAAGTTCCCAAAGGATCCATCGTGATCTTAGCAGGTACTTTCCTTACAAAGCCTCCTCCCCAGGTGGGCATCCGGGACGACACCTGGAAGATGAGGAAGGTAAGAAGGCCCAGAAAGCCCACCCTCATTTTCCCTCTGAGGTCTCAAATGACTTTCCCAGTGAAGAGCAAAACCTGGCCCCGACCCAGGTCTGCTTTTTATTGCTGGGCTGTTGTCCATGAACAGACTGAAACACCAGCCAGGCCTCTGGCAGCTCCCAGTGCGCACTTGAGGTTGTTGGTTTGGGGCTTAAATGACTTGGCTGCTTTCACTCCTCCACTGTGCAGCCCTATGGCATCCAGGCCTCAGACTCATCGCTGCTCAGAAGGGATTGATTGGTATGCAAAGACTTGGGGGCCCCAGCCACCAGCACCGAGCCAAGAGCAGGTAGGAGGCATCGGAGTGGTTGATGTGACAGCAGGGAAACGATCAGGTGTCAGAGCCTGGGCTCAGGCACGCTGCAAGGATTTGATGCATTAGTTCTAGTCCCCCTCAAGGAAAAAGGATGAGCTTAGTCAGCAGCCTCTGAGACTCATTGCAAATACCCCTTCTGCTGTGAAGTCTTCCTCCTTTCTGGTCTCATTTCCTTCCGGTGCCCCTACTCTTGAGTCTGTTTTATTACGGCTCTTATCACTGGCTGCCTGGTTTTACTATGGGTTAAGTAAATACCTGGCCTTCCCGTTAAACTGTGGAAGCAAACATTATGTTGTATTTCTCCTGGAGAAGATCCCCAGGGCTTAGAACACTTCTTTGCACATGGGTGGGCCCAGTGGATATCACTGAATTCGTCACTATTCCAGTCACCTTTCCCAGCAGGGACCAGCTGAAGTCATCTCTAGACCCGGTTTAGACCACTGCTTTTTTCTTTTTTTCTTCTGTAGTTGCACATTGATCTAGGGGCGAGGGGTGATACATCTTCAGAGATATGCAGTACTTGGCCCAGAGAGGACCCCAGTAGATGTCTGTCAATTGAATAGATTAACAAATAGGATGAGACATGGAGAAAGTGTCTAGGAGGGAGGATCCAAAATGTCCCAGGACCATTGCAGTTTGAGTGAGCTGTGAATCAGAGATAGACCTTGTTGCAAAAAAGGAATGTTTGTGTCAATAGGCCTTTGGAATGAAGCTGGGAAATGTAAGTGGCCTAGGACCATCCAGTATGGTGTTAACATAGGCTTTGGATTCAGGCAGGTTTGGGTTGCGATCTGGCTCTTCCATTTATTATGTGACACCAAGCTTCAGCTGTAAGATGGGGATAATAGTGCCCACATCATAGGACAATGGGAAGGGTTAAATTAGATAGGGCTGGTTTTGTGCTCACACACTGCTTTGCACACGGCCAGTGCTCAGTCAATGGAAGCTATCATTGTCATCGGAATAGATACAGTGGCCCAAGGCATCTAAGGACGCATGCTGGCCCTACTCCCACTTCACATAATCCTGTGTGCTCAGTGCTCAAGCAATTCCATCCTACTCTAGTTCACCAACCCCCAGAGCTCTTCTATGCCCCAGTGCCTTTGCACATGGGATACTCTTCTCCTGTTCCTTTTTCAAAGCCTTCCATGATCCTCACTCCTGAAAGATAACCAGAACCTTTATACCCCTTGGATTTTAATTAATAGAGGTGACCTAGAGATGACAGGGAAAGCTCAATGCCATTGAAATAACTTATTACTTACAATTTCCAAAAGACAGGGGCATACCACACCACCCGGGGAAGCACCAGGGTCGATAAGGAAGCAGGAGGAATAAGGGGAATGCATGGCTCAGAGCCTTCATTATGTTTTCCATGGATAGGAGGGGGATGAGGCAGGTTAAACAGCTGAACAAGCTTAGATTGAGTAGTTTGAATAATGTTATCAGACTGTGGTCTGTAGAGTGGTCTCTAGTGTCTGGTGCCTGGCCCTGGGGGTGACTTAGGGCAGGGGACTTACAGGCTTGGTGGGTGAGAGTTAGATAAAGGAGGTGGTTAGGGGTATAGGTTGGAAGTTGGTCAGTTTGTACACGAAAGATGTGTTCCAAGGTGAGTTGTTCACTCTCTCTAGGAACCAGCTAGCTCTGGGAGGGGCATCTCTCCCCAGCCAGCAAGAAACCCAGGTGTCAAATCATCACACAATGCCTAAAACAAAACACATGATTAATATACCCTCCTCTTTACCCTGGGGATTCTTCTACAGCTGAACTCAGCACACTGTTGGCAGTTTTGCTGTTGTTGTCTGGATGTATAGCCTCCTTGTTCAGCTGTGAGGTCATCAAGGCAGGGTCTGCATCTTGTTCATCTTTGTACCTTTGGCATCTGTCAAGTGCCTGCCACCAGGCTATGTTTAATACAGTGATTCTTGGGCTTGGCTGATCATGAGAATCCCATGGGAAGCTCTTAAAAAGTACCGACATCCAAGCCTTACCCTAGAGATTCTGACTTAATTCATCTGTAGTGTATGAATTTCCACTTGGGATGGGTTAATAACTCAGTGGTAGAGCACACGCTTAGTATGCACGAGGTCCTGAGTTCAATCCCCAGTGCCCCTATTATAAAAGAGAGAGCGAGAGAGAAAAAAAAAAAAAGAAGAAAACAAGGCACTTTTGAATTTCCACTGATTCCTTGAATTTCCTGGGAGGCATTTTCCAGAAGGAACCAAGATTGTGGACCCAGATGTAGTCATTTCAAACACAGAGGGAAACCCAGGTCCTGAAAGCCAAGGACTTGCCTGGGCATGGTCGCCTGTTGCAGAAGCATCCACTGCCCATTTTGGTAGAACATTCCCTGCTAAACAGTTAGCAGGCCTGGCAGACCTTGGCTTTGAACCAGTGTTGTTCTTCTAGGGCTCCAGGCCACGCTCATTGAGGAAGGGGCTCTCGCTCCACCCAAAGCTAGAACCCATTCCTGCCTCTCTCCTGTCCGTGTCTGTGAGCCTTTTGCTCTAAACAGTAAGGTGCTATTCATCTTCCTCAGGGACTCTGGTCTCTATGGTTTAACCACCATCCCTCTGCAGCTTTCTTTTTGTGCATCCTTCCTTAGTGCCTCTTCTGCCTGCTTTACAGTGTATCTTGAAAGGTAGGAGAATTGTCTCTGTGATTTCCGGTCTTTTCCATAGAGTCCTTGGAAGGAGGAATGCCAGAAAACCCACCCATCCTTCTTTCCTATTCTCTGCCACCCTACCTATTAGCTCCTCCCTGGAACTCCCTGGAACTTTCTCCAACTGCCTCTCCAACGACCAACCGCTGTCTCCTTTCCTGGCAATCCAGGAGCCTCCCCGACACTCTCAGTTGCTCAACACCACCAGACCCTGATCGCCTTAAGGGCCCAAACTCTGGGGCATCCTGGAGGGAACTTGCTCCCCACCTTCTCCAGCCCAGAAACCTGCCAAGGTTTCTCGCCTCCCCACAGCCACCACCCCACAGCTCCGGCACTGCTCTGGGTAAGTGACAGGGCTCTTCTCCCCCGTGTGAGCTATGAGGTGTGAGGCAGGGACTTTCCATTAGGACCAGCCGGAGTGATGGAGTGACAGAGAGAAGGGAGGGGCCTCAGGAATGAGAACTGGGGCCTGGAGAACTTAAGAAAATTCGTGTTGAGGGTGGTGTATCCGATTTCTTCACTCTAGTATGATTTGTGCCATTTCTACGTGCTTGTCTCTGAGCATCAAACATTTCTTCACTTTTCCTAGAAAGGGCTCTTTGGCACTTTTCTCACTGCTAGAGTTCTGAGCTGGGATGAGCACTACTGATTTAATTCAGACAGGTCTTACTTAGGAAGTAAGTAACAGACTAAGGAAGTTTCCTTCCTTTGTGGGGTCCTGATTTCTCCATCCATAGGAAGAAAGATCCCAATTTCCTCCCATCTTTAAATGTGGGGAGAATCGGAGATTGGCTCTATTCAGGAAAGAAGGGGGCTAGGTCAGTATGCAGCTCTGGTAGGCTCTAAGTTCAGTTCTCACCTCCACAAGGAGAAACAAAATGTTCAACCTTCCGAGGATGACATGGCGGCAAATGAACCTGAAAAGAGCCACCATTTCATTGCGTGTCTGGGGCTTTCCATTCTGCGGATGAAGTGATTCATTAATACATACAACATATGGCTAAAGAAGTGGGCTTACTAGTTCAATGATTGGTTGCCGAGACCAACAGGCTGGGGCTCTTGGAAAGGAGAGCTTGTGTCCCTGGAGTGAAGTGGCCCAGGCCCCCAGCTTCTGGCCACAGGTCTAGCAGAACCATCGGCTAAGAGAAGTGGTTTGGGCAGGACCAGGGCTGAGCTTTTCTCATGGACACCCCTCTAGTCCCCTCACTCTTAGGAAATATGACTGCTAGGAAATGCAGCTCTCGAGCTCTCTCTGCCACTGCCCCCACCAGTGCCTGTATCTTCTGCTTGATAAGTCAAATATCTACAACTCAAACTGTGATGGATGGAAGGAAAGCAAGCATTTCTCAAAAACAGCAAGAATAGAAATGACGTTTGGATACTTTTACATTCTAAGACAGTTTCCAAATTGGTCATCTGAAATAACAGGTGACTAAAAAGCGATGAGTTGGAGTTGATAACAAAAAGATGGTGGCCCAAGTGCCTTTTGGGAGACTGTGGGGTTCTTTCTTGTTCTTTAGATATGAAGGACAACAGAAGGTCAGAATAGTCTGTCTTCGACGTATCTTTTTAAACTGTGCATGCTTTTTTATTTAATTATTTATCAAGTAGCTACTATGTTCTGAGTGCTGTGGTAATGCAGGGACAGCCAGGGCCCATATGGGATGAAATATATGCACAGAACTAGAGCCGAAGGAAGATAGTGATGACTGCTCTCAAAGGAGGAACAAACTGCCCTGGAGCTCAAGTGAGACCCAGATCAGATTACCAGAGGAGGAGGTGGGGTCTTTGGGAAGTCTGTATCCACCCCACCCTCCCTTATTCCCTTACTTCTTTGAGTGGTAATTGAGCACTTGCTGTTTCCCAGGCCCTGTGCTAGGTGCCAGACACAATTCACAGGACACATATGGTCCTTTCCCCATAAAGATAACGGACAAACACATGTAAATGGCAAATAAAAATAGTCTAATATCTACCATCATGGTGGAAACATTGCAGATACTGGATGTAGATATTAGAGGATATCCAAAAAGTCTCCCCAGAAGAAGTGATGTTTAAGTAACACCGAAAGTATGAGCAGAAGTTTGCCATGTGGGTCGTGGGGCAGGAAAGAATGACTCTCCTTGCAGAGAGAACAGCTTGTGCAGAGGCCTTAGGGTGGGAGAGAGCAGAGCTGGGAGGATGGAGAGTAGTTTACAAGGCTGACTAAGTTGTCTATACAGTGAGGAAAATGGATTCGCCAGTGTTTCAAAAGTGGGCTCTACAGAACACTAGTTTCTTAAATTTATTCGTATGTGCTCACATGTGTGTGCGCATGTGCACTTGTGTTAAAATATATGTAACATAAAATTTACCATTTCAAGTGTACAGTTCAGTGGCGTTAATTACAGTCACAGTGTTGTACAAGTATCACCACTATGCATTTCCAAAACACTTGTTTCAGAAAGAAGATCTGTAATCATTAAGCAATAACTCCCAATTCCCCAGCCCCTGGAAACCATTCTGAGTTCTATGAATTTGATGACTCCAGGTACCTCTTATAGGTGGAAACCCACAGTATTTGTCTTTTTGTGGCAAAATGTCTTTTTCACTTGGCAAAATGTCTTTATGGTTCACCCAAGTTGTAGCATATGTCAGAGTTTCCTCCTTTTATGGCTGCATAATATTCCATTCTATGTATACACTACATTTTGTTTATCTAGTCACCTGTTGATGGATGCATGGGTCATTTTCACTTTTTGGCTGCAACGAACATTGGTATACGAGTATCTGTTTCAGTCCCTGCTTTAAGTTCTTGTGACTGTATGTCTAGGAGTAGAATTGTTAGATTATATGGTGGTTCTATGTTTAGCTTTTTGAGGAACCACTAAACTGTTTTCCACTGTGGCTACACCATTTTACATTCTCATCAGCAATGTACAAGCGTTCCCATTTCTCCAGCTGCTCTACAACACTTGTTATTTTCTGTGTGTGTGTGTGTGTGTGTGTGTTTAGTAATAGCCATCCTAATTGGTATAAGATGATATCTCATTGTTTTTGATTTGCATTTCCCTAAAGACTAGGGATGTTGACTATTTCCTCATGTGTTTATCAGCCATTTGTATATCTTCTTTGGAGAAATATCTAGTCAAGTATTTTGCACAATTTTTAATTAAATTGTTTGTTTTGTTGTTTTTGAGCTGTAGGAGTTCTTTTATATATCCTGCATATTAATCCTTTTCAGGCATATGATTCACAAGTATTTTCTCTCCTTCTGCAGTTGTCTGTTCACTGTCTTGATAGGATTTTTTGATGCTAAAAGTTTTTAATTTTGATGAAGTCAAATTTATCTAGTTTTTATTTTGTTTGTGTTTTTGGTGTCATATTCAAGAAATTGTTGACAAATGACAAATCCAACGTTATAAAGCTTTCCCCTATGCTTTCTTCTAAGGGTTTTATAGTTTTAGCTCTTACATTTAGGTCGTTGACCCATTTTGAGTATTCACCCACAATCTTTTGCCACAAGTGTCTGTAGGTCTGTAGTCTGCCTACAGCTTTCATGGACAATGCCCTCTCCTTATCCCCTCTGAGATCCGAGTTAGGCAAAACAAAGACCTGTCCTTCTGGAAATCCCTGGACAGGTTAGAACATTGCAATAAGGTCTGCTCTGCACCCTCTGGCTTGAGGGAGGAAACTGGTAACTGGGCTGCAGTCTCCTCCAAAACAACACTGAACTATGCCAAGGAAGGGGTGAGGCAAAGGCAAGTGAAAACACTGTGAAATCTCCTACCATGTTGAAGGTAGCTTTTTTTGAGCAGATATCACCCAGGGTTGGTAGCAAGGCTTGGAGCCAGAAGAAAAGTCCCCATGCCAAGTAGCAATGTCTTCAGTGAGCAAGGAGTGCTAGGAAGGCAAATGACACCAATTAGGATGGATTCAGATGGAGTAAGCCCCAAGAAGTTTAGATTTTCACAAGAGGACTGGGCATTCATGGTCTAGAAGCAGCAGTAGGGAGTGAGGTACTCATCAACCTTACCTCTCAACCCTGAGATACGTGAGGGATGGCAGACAGAGCAGCCCCCATATAAAAGGACTGCAGGGAAGTAGCTTCTCAAGGGGAAAGGGAGGTTCTGGGTATGGCCAGAGGTGAAGGTAAAGGGGTTTCAAGGGAGAAAGCAAAGTCTTCTTAGTAAATGGTGTTGGAACAACTGGATAGCTACATGCAAAAGAATAAAATTGAACCTGTACCTAACACATACAAAAATTAACTCGCAATGGCTCGATGATATAAATGGAACAGCCAAGACCGTAAAACTCTTAGAAGAAAACATAGTGGGGAAGCTTCATGACATTAGATTTGGCAGTGATTTCTTGGCTATGACATCAAAAGCATAGACAACAAAAGAAAACATAGATAAATTGGACTTCATTGAAATTAAAACCTTTGTGTTTATCAAAGTACACTATCAAGAAAATAAAAGGACAACCAACAGAATGGGAGAAAATATTTATAAATAAAATATCTGATGAAGGTCCACGGTTCTCACACCCGTTCCAATGTGTGAGGTTTTTCCCCTACACCAGGCAAGTCTCTGAAACCAGCTGGGTGTCCTACACTTCCACTCAATTCTGATTGTATTTGCTTGAACATAGCATCAGATCACATAAGTAAGGGCTCAGTCTTACAAGACTGCCTCCCCTACCCCAGTTTCTCCTGCCAGTCGAAAGTCCAGGTTGTTACCTGGGGTTTTGACCTACTGGCTATAGATTAGAGGTTCCAATGACTGCTTTCTTGAGTTGATTAATTTGCTAGAGTTGCTCACAAAACTAAGAAAAACATCTTACTTACTAGATCACAAGTTTATTACAAAAGGATATAACTCAGGAACAATCTCAGAAGAGATGTTTAGGGCAATATATGTTGGAAGGGGCATGGAATTTCCACGCTCTCTGAGTGTGACACTTTTCCGAAATCTCCGCATGTTCACCGATTCAGAAGCTCTCTAAATCCCATCCTTTTGGATTTTTCTGGAGGTTTCCTTACATAGATATGATTGATTGAATCAATCATCAGTGGCCAATAATGCAATCCCCAGCCCCTCTCCCCTTCATGGAGGAACTTTCAGTTCCTCCCCTCCAATCACGTGGTTGGTTCCCCTGGCAACCAGCTTCTGTTCTTAGGTGCTTTCCAAAAGTCACCTCATTAACATAAACTCAGATGAGATTGCAAGGGGTTTGTTATAAGTATTAAGATACTTTTGTCACTCTTATCAGTTAGGAAATTTCCAAGGTCTTTAGGAACTCTGTGCCAGAAATGGAATGAAGACCAAATATATATATTTCTTATTATAAATCTCAAAATCACAGTGTCTAATATCCAAAATAGATAAAGAACTCATATAACACAATAAAAAGACAACCTGGTTTTAAAATGGGCAAAAGGATTTGAATGAACATTTCTCTAAAGAAAATATACAGATAGCCAAAAGCTCGTGGAAAGATGTTCTACATCATTAGTCATTATTAAAATGCAAATCGAAACCACATGAGATACCACTCTATGCCCACTAGGATGGCTATAATCAAATAGAAAGAAATGCTAGAGAGGATGTGGAGAAATAGAACCCTCATTGCTGGTAGGAAGGTAAAATCTAACTTTGGAAAACAAACTAGCAGGTTCTCAAAATGATAAACTTGGAATTACCATATGACTCAACAGTTCTACTCCTAGGCATAACTCAAGAATTGAAAGTATATGTTCACACGCACACACAAAATGTGTACACAAATGTTTTTAACAGTATTATTCATAATAGCTAAAAAGAGGAAATAACCCAAATGTCCATCAACTGAATGGATAAACAAAATGTGGTATATCCATATAATGGAACATTATTCAGCCATAAAAATAAACAAAGTACTGATACATGATACAACGTGATAAAACTGCTATGCTAAGTGAAAGAAGCGTGTCACAAAACAATGCATATAGTATAATTCCCCTTGTGTGAAATTTCTGAATAGGCAAATCTATGAAGGCAAAGTAGATTAGTGATTTCCAGGTTCTAGGGGAGGAAGAAATGGAGAGTCATTGCTAATGAGTTTTTTGGGTTTCTTTTGGGGTGGTGAAAATGTTAAGTGATGATGGTTGCATATCCTTCAGTGATTTTTATACTAAAAGCCCCTGAAATGTCCATGTTAAAAGAGTGAATTTTGTAGTATATGAATTAATTTCAGTTTTTTTTTAAATGAGGAATGAAAGAAAAGAATGAGGGGGAATTTGGTCACTGCGGTTCAGAGATTCCAGAAGGCATAAATGGGAAGATTGAGGAGGGAGGGAAAGCATGAGAATCCGTGTCTGGGTAGAGAAAGGTGACACTTTGGCAGCGAGTGATGGGGGTGTCAGGCATGGGAGGTCTGGAGGGATGAGAAGGGGTAAAGAGTTCCAAGAGCACTGGTCCAGTAGTTCTGGGTGTCTGGAGGGACCAAGGCATCTCAGGAAGCCAAAAGTTTGGGCCTGATTGACAGTGTTGGGAGGTGGTCTCAGCCCAGGTGACCAAAGGAAGAGAAGGCAGCTTCAGGGGTGGGCACCGAGGGGTCTGGAGATGGTGTTTCCAGGGTGAGGCAGTTGAGCAAAACAGGCTGGTGATGGGCAGGGGGAGCTGTGCCCTTCAGGCTTGAACGTGGCTCCTCAAACTTGGACTCTGAGTATGAAGTCCCCTGACTCCCCAAGGGATGGATCAGATTCAAAAACACTGAGAACCACTGCATTCTGTCAGATCTCTCTGTACGAAAACAAGCCAGAGAAGTTTAGATAAATAAGCCAAAGGGTCCAGGGCCAGGGGCCAACCTGAGTGTTTAGTTTCCTACTGATGTTTATAGAGTTAGGAGATGATAAGTGAAAATAAAGACTATCAGAGACAGAAGTGGTGAATTCGTCAGACATTCAAACGAGAATTTCTTTAGCATCTAGACCCACCAGGGACTGCGCTTGGAAAGCCAGATGCAGACTAGGTACTGCTTCCAAGAAGCTTGTAGGCTGATGGGCAGGGAGACTAGAAGCAAATCGCTAAGCAAATAATTTTACAAACATATCAGAACAACAGAGAAAAGAGTAAATTGCTCTGATTCTGTGTAACAGGAATCTCATGGAGCCTGGGGGATCAGAGCAGGTTTCTCTGGGGAAATGACACTTCAGGGGTAGGAAGTCGGGCGTGCATCGGAAGGCCCTGGGGCAGGAAGGAGCTGAGGGTCAGGCGGAGAGCAGAGAGATGGGGCTAGAGAGACAGGAGGACCCAGATCTTGCCGAGCCTTGTGCTGCCTAGAAGAGCCCAGGCTTTATTCCAAGAACAAAGGGAATAGAGGTGGAGCCAGCAGGGACACAGCAGAGCTGCAGAGGGGGCAGTAGAGCAGAATGGTTAAAGAGGGTGGAGTCTGCAGTCAGATGGCATGGATTCAAATCCCAGGCCAGTCACCTATCACCCATTTGACCCAGGTCCAGGTTAGCTAACCTCTCTGTTCCTCAGTCTCCTCCTCTGTAAAATGGGGTCACAATAGTACCTACCTCAGAAAATCATCATTGTGAGAACTCATTGCTGACAGTGTGGTGCGCATGGAGTAAGGAGGAGTTGCTGACGTGAGTGGGCTCAACATGGGCAACTGTGCACGATGGACTTGCCCCTATCTCCAGAGAGCCATTCGTTACTGGGGCTACAGGCTGTTGGCACCCAGGAACATTCTGGTTTCTCTGGTGACTGCCACTCTGAAGACAAGAGTCTCTCGGCCTTGAATGACCATTCTGGCACCGTCATCCTCTGGCTCCAGCTGCTCCGAGAGCTTCATTAGGACAGAGACCATGCTCAGGCTATACCCCCGGGGCCAGCCCAGGGCTCCCACGTAGGTGGTGCTCTTATCTGTTGCTGAGACGGATTGCAAATGGGTGGATGGGTGGATGGATCTGTGGAAGAATATTCACACTAGCCACTAATTATTGAGCACTCCCTGTGTGCCAGGCACCTTACTAAGTGCTTCACAGAAGTCATTTCATGTCATTCTTACAACTGTCTTGCAGGGAGGCTACTGGGAGACACTTCCCAGTGGCAGAGATCTTGGGGGAGCCCTAGTCATACTTCAGGGAGTCCAGTTATGGAGTGTTTAGTTTGTAGCCCCAAAGAAGGGCTTTTTGCTGAAAGTTGGGATCCTGGAAGCAGGAATTCAACCTGAAAGCAAGCTCTGCTGAAAATGGTTTCTCTAAAGATCCAGCCGCATGTACTTTATAGCCACCATCTCCTCTTCATTAGCCAGGCACAGGGGAGACAGGGCCGTTTTACTCGTCTTTGAAAGGGCAAGTGGTACATCCTAGGGAGGCAAGAGGGCCATGGGGCATGTGGCAGATTAGAACCCAGGAGTCAGCAGTACCCCCCTCCCCAGGGTGGGAGAACTGCCTTTGATCTTCCCCATGCTGGCTGGTTCCCATCAGAGCCCTACACGCTCCTGCCTGGAGGCCTGTTTCCCAGAAGGCATGCAGGCCTCCCTGCCTTCCCATCCATCCCAGCCGAGTTGTTCAGCATGGCTCAGCCCCAAGGCCCTGCTTCCTCCCAGCTCAACACTGTGCGCACTACCCCTTTCCTGAGCAACTCTGCCGGCCTTCTTCTCCAGGGACTATTATTTTGAGAGAGTGCTGAGTTCAGCACCACTGCAAGGTGCAGCCGGATGCGTCCTTCTGTCCTCAGCTGGCCCTTCAGAGCTGGCCTCGGGGCCGGGTGACCCCACCACCCCGTCTCCACCTGCCCCGTGCAGCAACCCCTGCTACACAGGGTCACCGCAGCCAACCAGGGCCACCACCCCACAGCCCCGAGGCTGTCAAGACAGGTGGCAGAGGGGCTGGGGGTGGGAGAAGCAGAGCTTGCCAGGGGAACAGCCCAGCCTCACTCCTGCACTTAGAAAACCCAGCAAGGTCAGGCTCTCATGAGGACCCCCAGAACCTGAAATCTGGGGTCACTAGTCTCCTTTAAGGGTTTGCCTTAAAGCCAAAGGAGCAGGTTGGCCCTCAGCCGTCTGACTGCACATGGGGCAGCAGGGGGGTCAGGGTGCAGGATGAGGGGCTGTGCGAGGGGCTTTTATAAGCCTTCCTGCCTAGCAGCCTGCTCTGTGCCCTGGCAGCCTAGCAGAGTGACAGCAAAGTCCTGCTCTGATGGAGGCGGGGCCTCAGCCAGGACTGTAAGTTGAGTCCAGCTGGGAGGAGGTCCAGGTCCACCCAAGGTATTTGTGTCAGTGAATTAGCTGCAGAGCCCAGGCAGTGCCTGGCCTTCTCCCTGCTGACCAGAGGTCTCTGTCCCACCAGGTGGACCCTTGGGCTGGGAGCTGCGGGGCAGGAAGGGTGCCCCCTGTGGAGGTCCCAGCAGCTCTGAAGTTCCCCTCCTTCCCTTTCAGGTGCCCATGGGCTGGACCATGAGGTTGGCCGTGGCAACCCTGCTCCTGGGCCTCACGATGGTGGTCACTGGAGACGATGAGGACAGCGATCTGTGTGTGTATGAGGCCCTGTCTAACAACGACGCTCTCCTCTGCAAGTAAGGCTGGGCGGGCCCCCATCCCCCGCTGGAGAGCAGAGCCGGGTTGTCGGGGAAGGGTGCTTCCAAAACCAAGGGGCAAGGGGCACTGCCTCCCAGGGCAGCCTCTGTGGACAGGCAGGACATAAGTCAGCTCTGGGACCACCTTGACGGAGGACGACATCCAGGCAAGGACTTTGAGATAGGCCCCTGTGTCCAGAGAGCAGTTCTCCCAGGACCAGAAGGCTATATGGATGTGGTCGGCTCCCCCGGGGCCTCCAGCCCTGAGGGGCTGGCCTGACCCTCCCTGTTGGGACCCTGAGAGACCATCCCTCCCTACAGCCCTGCACGCTCCCTTCCCCCAAAGTGGCATTTGAAAGAAAGTAACATTTGACCGAGGATGTGTGATTGGACCTTCTCTGTGTGAGAGATTGTTTGCTTTTCCATAACAAAACCACGGAAGTGTCAGGGCAGGCAGGCCTCTTAGGGAGCATGGCCGCTGGATGTGGTCCAGAGAAGAGGCTGGGTGTCAAAGGCTGGCTTTGTGCCTTCCAAGGGCACAAGCTTCTCCCCTTCTAGTTGGAGTTCAGCTCTCTAATCGCTGACCGTGGGTCAGAAAAGCCAGCCTTCATTGTCCTGAACTCGTGCATCCTCCTGAGGGCTGCCCCGGCCACATTGTTGCCTTTGGCCAGTTTGGTGGCCAAGGATGCTGGCAGCTCCTAGAAGCCCCTAGAAGTGAGAGCAAGAGCAAGGACTCCCGCATCTTAGTCTGTCTTCTTGAGTGCATTTGAATTCTTCCAAATTCTTCTTTTAGAAAGAGAAATCTATGTTTTCCCTTAAACAGTTAGGGAGTCGAATCCAAAAGGAAAAAAAGGAGCACACATTTTGCTCCTGTGGGTACATTTTGAAATTCTGATGAAACAGTTCCTGGTGGTGTTTTGTGTGGGAGAAGGAGGGAATGTGGCCGCCCCTCACCTGTGGGCGCCCATCCTCTGTGTGCTCTGCTGAGCGAGACCTTCCTAGGGGCAGACAGGCTTTCTTCTCTGGCAGGAGGTCACGCCCCGTGAGCCAGGGAGGACAAGCCACGATCATGGCCCTGTTACGGAGCGCCTCTGTGCTTCCCGTGTTCACTGTGGTGCATGCAGGACGGGACCACATGTGTATGGTCACTGGAGAGGACCAGCCCACACCCCAGCTGCCCCAAGCTCTGCCTGGGACTCTCCCGGGGTCAGAGCACTGCCTGCCTCCCAAAGCCCTGCCTTCTGTGTTGAAGAGCTCCCCCATTCAGGGGGGTGCCCTGATGTCAAGGCAGGTGCTGCCTTTCTTTAACTTCACCCCATTCTTTCTGATTTTGCCCCAGGTGCTGCATAGACCAAGTCTAGTGTCTCTTCCTGTTGAGGGGCCTTTTGATGTTTGGAGACAGATGTCCTGCCCACCTCTGCCTTCACCTGCAGCTCTTTCTCCCCTGGGCATCCACCTCCCATCCTTCAGTTCCTCCTCGGGGGCCTCCTTCTGGCCCTGCCTTTGAAAAGAGTTGGTTGGGGACAGACCCACACGTCCATACTGAGAACCATGCAGTAGAGGGTGGGATGCCTCCTGGCAGCCCCTCGCACCTCTGTGAAGGCAGCCTCACCTCCGTGGACCTTTCTGTCACGCTCACTTTCGGGCACCTGGGATGCTGAGCCTTTTTCCTCCCTGGGGAGCTGTTTTTCTCTGATTTGGTTCTTCCGTGACCATCTAAAGGGGAGCTTGGAGAAAAACAGTGACTCACGGAGGGAGCTGTGTGGTCTGGGGAAAGGGCAGGCGAGCCCCTGTGGTCCTTCTCTGTTGCTGCACACGTGTGTTGCCCCGGTTTCTCTGGGCACCTCTGGCTCAGGCTCTCAGGAGGCTGCAGTCCAGCTGTTGGCCAGGGCTGCAGGCTCATCTGAAGGACAAGATTCGCAGGCAACACATGAGCCTCAAACAAACCCTGGGCTGGCAGCAGCCTGCGGGTGTGACAGGGGCTGGGGGGACAGACCTCATTCCTGGTCTCACGGCAGGACCCTGTCAGGGCACTCTCTTTGGGCTCACTCACCAAATGTCAGCTTGGCTATTTTGCTTTACTGTTTTAACATTTGCAGCAGTTCTCCCAGAAGAAAAGAAGAGACCCTTTTGTTCTCCAGGGAGGGTTCCTCTGGTCCTTGGTTTCTCTCCTCCCCACCCCTGGCCTCTCCTAGTTCCGTGCTATGTGCCAGATCTCCATCTCACTTCCAGTAGACGGTCCCCTCTCTCAGCCTCAGATCTTAAGAGTTTGCAGTGGCAGGGAATTGTGGTAAAAACAAACCCAACGGTCCTTAAAATGCTGCTATGAAGAGAAATGAAAACCAGTCCTCTAAAACTGCTTCCAAAGCAAAAAAGCCACCCGAAAGAGACTACTGTAAACTTGCAAGGAGTTCAAAGAATTGAGTACCCTCAGTTCAGCTAACTTTGGTTCAGCTCACTGGCTTCAGTGAATAGTCCTGCTTCGAGGGGTGAGTCCTGGCCTGGGTGCTGGCAGTATCTTGCCGCTCCTGGGTCTGCAGGCTCGTGCTGCCTTTGCCTAAGGCAGGACCTCGGGAGCCACTGGAAGGGGACAGGATGGGGAATGTGGGGCTCCCAGTTGGGAATTAGTCCCTGAACTTCTCTCAGGTCTGGACCCCAGGAGCTCCTCCTCCAGATCTACTCCCCCAGTGACATTCTTGGGGCCCCCTTCAGGCATGACCCCCAACCCCGGCAGGGAGGGTGGCCAGCTCTGGGTGACTGCTGGCCCCTGTGGAGCTGCGCAGCCATACTGGGCTTTTGGAAAGGCTGAGTGAATCATCTGAACCAAATGAACCCTGCACAGACCCTGGGCCTTGGTGATAAAAAGAAGGACAGGGAAAAATGGCAAGTAAAAAAAAAGTTAAAGCCTGGCTTCCATCCCTGAGTTTCGAATTCAGGTGAAGCCCTGGTGAGGTTGTAGGATCAGCCCTCCCAGGGAGCCTGGTTCTCAGGGCGCTTATGCTGCCACGCTTAAGATTGCCATGGATGCGCATGGCAATCTTAGTGCCTAGATGTTCGAATCCCGACCCCCACCCCGAGAGATGTTTGCATTTTGAAAGCACAGTGAACAGCAGAATGAGAGCCGAGAGTGGGGGCAGTGTGTCCCGCAAAGAGGTGAGTTATTTAACTCCTGGTGGGATTTGCAGGCATGGAGAGTATCTTGATTGTTTAGGGCAAAGAGGTCTATGCCCATGAAGAAGCCTGTGCTAACTTGCCGAACCTTTCTTTGTATAATAAGAATGTTCCTGAAAAAGCAATGCGTAAATATTGTTCTGATAAACCCAGCCCTAGTCTAAGGACACTGACCAAGTTTGCCTATGGCAGTATCTTCTTTCTGAGACGTGAACACTGACAGTAATTGACAGTAATGAACACTTTCCCACCACTAGTGACCTGGCAGGCTCTGCTGTAAACATCAGTCACTACTTGACTCCTCACACCAACTGTACAGATATGTACAGTTAGTGTCCCCATTGTACAGATGGAGAAACTGAGGCACAAGAGGTCAAGTAACCCTTAGGCCACACAGCTCGTGAGTGGCAGGTGCAGGATTCAGTCCCACTTGACTCCACATTCCCCACAGGGCCAGACCGAAGCCTTACAAGCCCTAGGCTCCCCTAAAATCCTGACGTGGGCTGACCCCCTCCCTCTCTCCATAGGGGCCTTGAAGTTTTCTACCCAGAGTTGGGGGACATTGGCTGCATGTATGTTCCTGTATGCAACAATTACAGACAGAAGATCACCTACTGGACCGAGCCGATAGTCAAGTTCCCTGGGGCCTTGGACGTGAGTGAGCCAGCCTGGCTGGAGGGGAAGGGTGGTGGGTCTCGAGTTCCCTCTGAGTTTGCTCAGCTGGGTAACATGAAGCCGCGTGCAGAGCCAGCTGGGTTGGGTTTGGTGGCACCAGATGGCTGTCGCCATAAGCCTTCTTAAGAGCAGCCCCGCTGCCTTGGAGGAGGTTGCGGGGGGTGCTGCAGGCTGGGAGCCTCGGTGGGGCTCAGGGGCTGCTCTGCCGGGGCCTCTCCCTGTCCCTGAGCCTGAATCCTCAGTCAGTGTAGAGACCAGATGGTGTGTGCTTCGAAGTCAGCAGAGAAGGGAGGGGGGGCTTGTGGGGAGTTCTTTCTCAAAGTGCAGGGTGGCTGGGCTTCCAGAATGATCTGAATGGGGAGCATCTGGCAACACTTCTCATGTGGACTAAGCCAGCAGAGGTCAGTGCCCTCGACTCCGGTGTCGCAATGTGAGACACGCTCAGAAGTTTGTCTGAAGTGAAAAATAGAAATGTTTTAGGAACTGGAAAGAACTATTCCTTTTGCTGGGAAATGATTCGTACCATCTTGTTCTGGAAGCTTCTCTCAGTTTGGGGATGTAGTCAGGCCGGGGAAGGGCCTTTGGAGTGGGAAATGTGGTTGCAGGTGCTGGAGAATTTGCTCCGGTGTCCTGGTTGCTGTTTCATCCTTGACTCCAGGCTGAGCCCCCAAAGCGTTGCGGGTGGAGGGTGACCCTTGCTTTGTCTGTGTTTTAGTAGGAGGTGCCAGTGTCAACCTAGGCACCAGGACCATGATGTGTCCAGGACTCAGGCCATGAATGAGTGGAGACAGAGGGGTCGTGATCAGAATGTGACCACATGCACCCCGAGGCCAGCCGTGTGGTCCCCTCTGTGCATCGTGGCAGAGAGGCCACAGAGGGCTCCTCTGCTCTGTCAATCCAGCCCTGCTGGCTGTCAGCAGAGGCATGACAAGATGACAGGTTCTGGGCTGGGGGGTTATATGGATTACTCAGAAGCAGTGGGGGAGGTTTTTCTTTCTTTAATTGGTTTTCGCTGTCGAGGAAGAAATAGGTGGCAGTACCTCTCACTATTCACGAGGCTGAGAAGACGAAGCTTTGGCAGGTGATCATGACTGTATCCGTGACAAACATCCTTTCCTCTGGGAGGCTAAGCTAGCAATAAGGGGGGCCTTCTGGGTGTGCTCTTCCCTCACCCTCCAGGCCTCACACACATGCACACACACATGTCAGCACCCCCTCCCTTTCCTGGAGACCCCTGGCCTGGGTCACACCCATGGACAGGCAGCAGGAGCAGAGGAAATGTCAGCCTCTGTGATTCTAACTCAGAACAGGAGCCGGTCAGGAACCTTGTCCTCTAGGGAAGAGTATAATGCTTCCCCATGGGACAGGACTCTTGACTTCACCCTTAATTCACGTGTCCTTAAGGAGTGAGGAGCTCGGACAAAACACTGGAACAGCCCAATGACAGTTCCAAGAGGGAATCTAAGCAAAGGACTCTGTTCTGTGTGCTGTTGCTATATGTGTCCACTAGATGGCGGTGTAGACTTTCCTGAGTACCTGGTGCCCTCAGTACAAGACTGGAGTTTGAAGCAAGTTTGGGAAGCCTTTGCATTTGATTCGATCTAGCTGGTACTGATTGCCCTGGGGGTGTGGGCACAAAACATAGAGAAGATATCACCCCTTCCAGATCCTGAAATCTCCCATCCTGCCTCAGCCCAGAGGTGGAGCAAGGGAGAAAACCTGGAGATGTATGAAGGACAAAGAGCTGTGGTTAAGAAATCCAAGGAGAGCAGAGATTTCACAAAGGAAATTTTGGTCAAAGTGGTTGAAAGAATTAAAGAAAAAGTAGTATTCTACTGCCACAGAACTACAGTTTACGGGAATTTGTCCTATTTTAAAAATTTGCATTCTTTTTTGTTGAAGTACAGTCAGTTTACAATGTTGTGTCAATTCCTGGTGTACAGCATAATGTTTCAGTCATACATGAACATACATATATTCATTTTCATATTCTTTTTCTCATGGGGTACCACAAGATATTGAATATAGTTTCCTGTGCTATACAGTATAAAATTATTGTTTATTTTATATATAGTAGTTACTATTTGCAAATCTCAAACTCCCAATTTATCCCTTCCCACCCCCTTTACCCCCTGGTAACCATATAAGTTTGTTCTCTATGTCTGTTAGTCTATTTCTGTTTTTTAGATAAGTTCATTTGTGTCTTTTTTTTTTAAATATTCCACATATAAGCAATATTATATGATATTTTTATTTCTCTTTCTGGCTTACTTCGCTTAGAATGGTGATCTCCAGGTCCATCCATATTGCTGTAAATGGTGTTATTTTATTCTTTTTTTATGGCTGAATAGTAGGGAATTTGTCCTTTGAGAAGGCAAGTTCAGTTAGGGTTATCAAAAGCCACCCTTTATTAGGTGGTACCCACTTTATGCTGGGGACTATTCATGTGTCATTTCATTTAATGTACTCATCAAGTTAAGTATTTCTTTAGTTGAGACTGTTAGTGGCAGACTCAAACTAGCTTGTGTCCAGAACTGAAAACTCCAGGGATAACTTCAGGCATGGCGGGATCCAAGTGCTCAAACAACATCACCAGGAATCTATCCATCTGTCCCTTTTCTCTGCTTTTTTCTGTGCTGGTTTTGTGTGTAAATACTCTTTTCTTGTGGTAACAAAGGTGACCTCATCAGCTTCAGATGTATATTTTACTAGTTTATTAACCCAGTGGGAATATATTGACCCCATCCCATCATTAAAAGTCCCAAGATTTGTCCTGCTTGGATCACATGTCTATATCTGACCCAAACAGTGATGCTGGGAAGCCCCACTTAATCTACAAAGGCTGAGAGCAGAGGAGGATGTTTCTCTCAAAGGAGAGTCACGGTGCAGGTTATCAGAAGCGGGAAAGGACGCTGGATAGGAAACACAAGAGAAGTTCCAATGGAAGCGAGTAATCACACAAGTGCAGAGCTGGAGAGTGACAGAGCCAGGGTTTAAACCCAGGTCTGCCCAACTCCAAAGGTTTGGCCACTGGCCTAAGGGCGAGGGCTCACCGGGTGACATTGGGGTGTGGGCACACTGTGCTGAAGGGGAGCACAGAAGTCACAGTGGTTGCTAAGGAAGGAGGTAGCAAGGGGTAGAGACAGGCCAGTGATAGTAAGAAGGGAGGTGGTGGCTAGAGCTTCCCTTAAGAGGTAAGGGGTACAGTCACCTCTAGAGAGAGAACAGCTGGTAGAGTCGGGGAGGAAGCAGGTACTATCTGGGAACAGGGTCCCTCAAAAGTGGAGGTGGGGGAGCCCGAGTCCTTAGTGACAGAGAAGAGGATGAAGGCATTTCCTCTGGGCTCAGGGCCTGATGGAAGAGGGCAAGAGGTTGGTGACTGGCTATGTGGGGACAGTGCCTTGCTTCAAAGGTGATTAAAGCAATGCCACCAAAGCGGCAGCTGCCAGTGGACATGCCTAGGGAGCCCTGCTCCCCCCACCAAGCAAACCCCGAAGCCCTGAAAGGAGGAAAGCTATGGCCGTGGGGCAGCACCTCTGTGCCCAGCAGAGGTCTTCCTGCCTGCACACCCTTGCTCAGGCTGCTTCTCCAGATTTGGACCCTGTGCTCTGGGATATCCTGTCCCTACCAAGATGCTTCCTCCTCCAAGAAGCCTTTCCTGACCCCACCCCCTTCTTTGGCAGGTCTTTCCTTTCTCCTAGCTTTTTTAATGTCCCCTACGCTCCAAACCCAGCGTTTACTTCCCTCTGTTTTGTCTTGTGGTTGCTTATTCATATCTTTCCCATAGTGTCAACTGATTTATAGGCTCTAGGAGAGCAAGACCATATGTTGTATTTCTTTGAACCACCCACCCCTACCAGCATTGCAGACCCCATGTTGGTTAGCTGGGTGATGGGGTGGCCAAGTGAATGAATGAAGGCATGCACGAATGGCAGTTGGAGGGCCACCTCCTGGAGTGGGAGCTTCGAGATGTGTGAGCCCTGCAGTTTGCGCTTTAAACTGCAGGACCCCAGCCACCACTCATCTTCCTCCACCAGGGTGGCGGGGGCTTAGGGCGGGTAGGAGGAAGCAGAGAGAGAAGAGGAAATCAGCTGGGTTCCCGAGAAAGCAAAGCAGTGCAGGAAAGTATGGATGGTCCCGGCGCCAGCATCCGCTGAGAGCTCAGAGAGATGCTGAAGTAAGAGGGTTTTCTCCCCTGGCGCTTTGACAAACATTAAGAGGCAAACATCTTAAAACGCAGGGGGCTCAGGGAGAAGGTAAGGTCAGGACAGGGTAAGGAGTCTGGGGGGCAGGGGGCGGGTCCACCGATGTATCAGTGATGGTTTAGGGAAGAATCAATGACGTGTGACTGTAACCCAGTGACTCACATGTGACAGGAGCTTAATAAATGATACCAGTTGTCGTACGACAAGAGACTGGTTTGTAGTCTGAAGGATGAAAAGAAGAAGGCCTCTGGGCTTCTGGAGGCTCTGGGAGGAGCTGGCAAGGTTGTCGCAAAGACGGGGGCTGATGGGTGGAGCCAGGCCTGGGAAGGCAAGTGAGCAGGTCCCCCAGCGCCCAGGTGAGGACACATGAGTGCAGGAGAGCCTGCTCACATATCATCTTATCCTTTGCCCCTGGCCGAAGGCTGCTAGAATCACCCAGCTATGTCCCACCCCAGCCCAGGCCACTCAGCCATCTGTCACGGGGGCGCCTCTGGCCACAACAGGACCAGGTGAGAGAGGAGCGATGCTTTATCACCATCTCTGACCTCTGCTGTCAGATTCTTAGGTCGTGGAGAAACCTCCCATGCAGGATTTCACACGACCCTCCTAGCGGCGTTGGCAGCCAGATAGTGTAGGGATTATCCCCACAACTGCAGAAGGAGGGACACTGCCCAAGGTCAAGGCGATGTTCGCCAAGGCTGGGTTGTGGAGAACCAGCTTCCTGCCTCCCAGTTCGCTGCTCTTTCACCTTTGTAATACTGCCTCTCAAACCCA